GTTTTTACAACTCGATGCGGAAATTAACGGAACCTTTGAATTTTTTGTTCCTCAAATTTTTAATGAAACAACCCCGATTTCTTTCTCATACTTACACTCAATACCCCAGAGATGGACAGGGTGTGGCTGCGTACCTCATTTGAATGGGCGTGGGATGCATTTTTCGTGGAATACTAGACTGGTGACTACTGCCATCCTTTTTCGAGGTGAAAAAATTTGTGATCACAATTACATCACAATATCCCACCGAAGTGCAATCATCGCGACGTTAAATGATATCCGTAGCCACGCCCTCCCCATTTCCGGTATCTTGATTATACATGCAATCAGTTTCAGTTAGTTAGTGCATCAGTTTTTAAAGGTTCTAGGGTCATGTTTTTCCGCGCCATACCCTTCTTGGGTTAGGGTCGAGTATTTCCACGTTTCCCACAACTATGTCTTTTTGAAGTTTTAGGTCCTATTTACCCATAATTTGCGCCTATGCTAGAAATTTTGTTAGGTCTTCTAGCGAGGGGGGACAGCTTTGCTGGAACGGGTGGAATTAGGAAGCCTCTTCAAAGTCGTTTAGTTGACGGCTTGATGCGTCGTCATACGTCAGGTCTTCCTGAGCGCTCTATAGGGAAAGATTTATGAGATACCGCGTAAACAAGCATAAAATCGGCATGTCAAAAACACCGCATTAACATGGGGAATGTCTTCCTCAATCCATCAGGTATTAAAGGGATCCATCCGGCCCAATGGGTACTTCGGGCCCGAAAAAAGGACAACACTAGAGACAAGTGCCGTCTTGGCTTTTAGACTCTCAGGTATTCGATTCCACCCTGAAAAGCCAAATTAACTTTTCTTTCAGAAAGTGGAACTCACGATTCCGTCACGACCTGATCGACGCTCGTCTCAAATTGAGGAAATTGTGAGTTCGCTAGTTGCCTAGCCGTCAAAAGTCAATTGCTTTTCGTTTTTTTCCTCAGAAGTCCCTGCTAGAAGAAGAAGAGGAACAGCCATTGAATATGGAATGGCCGGATAAATTCACTAAACAGGTCACTTATGTCTGCCTGGCTCCAGTGCTCATCCCCATGTGGGTCACAATTCCTGACGTTCGTCGACCGGTACGTCTTAGCTATTGGGAATATTATTGTTTATAAATTATTATTATTTATTTATTGTTCGTTAATTATTATTTTTTATTTTGGTTGGTAATAAAACTTTCGGCAAATTAGAATTATTGAATATTCTTATATCCCCCAATTAGTCTGCCCACCTGCTAATCTTATTCAGGTTTTCGGGCGGCTTTAGAACCGAATAATGAACTTTTGTCAGCGACACCGCTCACTTTCAGCGTATGCCCCGCCCACTAAGGGCGGGGCTTAGCATAGGTCACGTGTGTTATGACATATTGTCCCATGACCAACCTATCCCAATCTTGGCGCGACCTCTCCAAGTTGCTTTTCAGGTAAAACCGAGGGGATATACCAGAGAGGAATACGGCGGGGTGGGGGAGGGTGGAAGAGCGGTTGCACTCAGAGAAATCCTCCGCAACCCCAGGACGTGCCTTCGGCTAATTCTTGAGATTCACGGAATCAGATACTGCCAAAGCGAGCTACAGACTGCAATGGTGATCGCAACGCCCGCTGCCAACCACTGCCCACGCATCTTTTTTTGAAAACTGACCAATTTTTGAAGGCTCTTGGAAAACTAAGATCTGTCACCAGTCACTTTATCCACCTTTAATGAAACAATTACGAGTTGGAAAAGTTCGTTAATAATGAATGATTGTTTCCTTCCGCGGGGAGCACTTTACTTGACGTAACCCCAAGGACAAGCATTTAACCCCAAGTACTTAAGTAAGAACTTAAGTAAGAGTAACTAAGAAAAAATTTCTAGAGAAGCGATCAGTATAGCGCACATAAAAATAAGCAACGTTGCCGTTCACGATCAAAGAAATTCAACAACAGAACGCCTTTAGAAATTAAAAATTGAATGGATACGGGAAAATTCATAAGCGCATAAATTGGAAGAGAAGTTATCAGATTGCAGTACTCAAAATAAGGATCGTATTATGGAATCAGTAAAAAGGAGAGTAGAGCGAGATAGATTTAAGAATAAAGAAAAGAGAAAGGAAGCGAGACTGGGTTTCTCACGTTGAGGTCTATAAAAAGACACCATGGCCCAGCGTGACCGCTTGTTGACCCCTTACAAGAGAGGTCGTTCAGGGCGTGCCCCGCTTTTTCGAAACGGTTTATTGCACTTTGTAGGGCCTTGCCCATGAACCATAAAAGTGGGCTTCGTTTTGGCTGAGCGGCCCCTGGAATGCCAAAAAAGGAGCGAAAAGAAACCTATGGAAACTGATTGTTTTTGAGCCTCTACGAGCTGTAAACCGCTTGAAACTTTGACCAGTTGCTGAATGGAGGGACCCTATAAAGGTACTATCGGAATCGAAGAGAAAAGTAGTCGGGGTATGGGGTCTTACTTGTGGCACGTAATCAAGCGTGAACGGCTCGTAGAGGCT